TCACGAGACTGCCCTTCAGCGACGCAAAGAAGCTCTGAGTAGCTATGGAACGATGTCCTGCTTCGATCAGAAGAAGGATACGTGCCTCATCGTAGACGCCAGTCCGCACGGACTCGGTGCCATCCTGTGCCAGACCACACCTGAAAATCCTGAGGATATCAAGGTCATCGCATACGGAAGTCGTGCTCTGACCAGCGTGGAAAGCCGGTATTGGCCACGCGTCACCGCGCGCGGCGACAGCCCGCGTGGATGAAGGACTATGTGTAAGCAATCATCTGAAGAAGGGGAGGGATGTAGTGTCTATGTATCTTCGAAATGAAAATCGTTCACATTCCCCTGTATTATCATACCCTCCCGGGCTACCTATGAAATGAACCCCTGTTTGACCTTGAATAAATAAACAGTTTCCCCACCGACCGTTACCACGCGTTTTATGGTTCGCACCGGACCAGACCATACGCGAGCTGATCCAGCTCCATAAACACCACAGTGAGCACTTCTGATGTGATTGTGGCAATAGCGTTCCCATTGTGTCTTTGTAGTGTTCCCATTATGAGTGTTTCTTACATGTGTGAAAATGAAAATAGGATTCTGTCTTACTTTAATTAGTTATGCTTCATTTATGTTCTCCGTACCAAAGGAGGTTTTCCAACAGTAGTGCACAATTTTTCATCCTTTAAAACTCAAAACTTATTTCTTGTGCCATTTAGTCTTCTCCAACGATGAGATAGGAGCTCGAAACGTTAGAATGGAAGGAGCGATGAATATATCAGTAATTTTGTGCGAACCATCTTTAATCTAAGCGATGATGCCAGATCATGCCCGGAAACTAGAACGATGCATCAAAAAGCTCGTCAATGTTGCGTCAGCAGTTGTTTTTAATCAAATATATATATATATATATATATATATATATATATATATATATATATATATATACATCATTATTAACCGCCATGAGCGATTCGGTCAAAAGCACCGGCCAGAACTAGCATGACACCATATCGGAGTGATCGTAACCAGTAAAGTTCACGGTAACTAAATCTTCATACATGTACACTTCGAAAATGTCATACAGCTGGAGAAGTCTTCTTACTTTGTGAGCTCCTTAGACTTTAGGGCTGCATCAGCCCAAAATCCCCGTATTCCGGCCATTAAGTTTTAATTGTCTTATGTATGTAGTTCGTGTACGGGAACCAAGCTCACTGCGCACAGCCCTAGAAAACTACGCGTGCTTTGCATGCAAATACATGGAGCTTGTCCATCTTCGTCGGATGATGGTGGATTCTGTCATTTTAAGGCTAAGTATTTCGAAGATAACATGGCAGTATACATCTAAATTGGCTGCTAAACATCATCCAAATCAAGCACGAGCTTGATTCCTAGCTTATACACGGTTAGCCGGGTAGTTGATGAGATCAGCTGATGGCTGAGGACTAATACAGAGTTTTTGCTTTGTCTGTTGTAAGGGAATACAGGATATCTCATCCTTAAAACAATATATCAAAACGTAACGTACAGGTATAATAATAGTCACAAATTTGATGAACAATGGAAATAAGAAGGGCAATCGAGCAAAGGGCAATAACCGAAGATCAGTGTACATGAATTAACGTCCCTGTGTAACCAAGAGTGCCCGGTCAGGTTAACATAGAGGGCTCTGACAGATGAAGGGTCCTCAGCAAAACAGCTCAAAAAGGGGAAGAGCCATAGGCCAATGAAGAGGGCTCCTGAGCATCGAGTGCCTCGAAGCGTTACCTTATATGGAGCCCCAGCAAGGGTCCTCCAAGCAAGTGGAAAGAACCCCATACCAATATGAAGGGCCCCTGAACAGCCGAGTGTATCCTGGCATTTGGGGCCCAGGCAGCAGCGGCGGGGCGGGAGAGCCCGCCTACCGCGCGGACGCAGCGGTCCCTGCCGGGCCCGCGCCGCCTGCTATGTCTCCGGCTGCGCCGCCGCCCGGCGCATCTGCACCCACTCCGCCGGTAAGCCCCGGGGCGCGGCCGCACCCAGACCGGACGCTGCCGCCAGGCGTCTAGGTAATTTATAGTAGCCATGCTTGACTATACACATCACGTGATCATCAGTGGAATGCCAGGTTGACTGTGCCATCTGTTGACAAAAGAGGGAAATAGCGGTAGGACTCAAAGATGCTTCTGTAGTGTTATCTAGCAGCAGGAATCCAAAATAGCCTGGTTGCCATGGATAGTGGACGTCTTGAACACTGGACTTTACGACTCTGGACTTTGCGATTCTGGACTTTGTGTCCCTGGACCTTATGAACGCCCCCAATGAGCACGGAATTGGACGTTTTTTGGACGTTACGAACACTGGATGCTACGATCCTGGACGATATGAACACTGGACGCTGCGATCTTGGACTTTTTGATGACTCCCGGGGGGGCGGCACTGAAGACGCGGCCGGCCGCAAGATGACGGAACAGCCGTACCGGGTATCCTAGGTGCTGCAGCCGAGTGCTCCGCATGCGCGAGGAAGCAAACGTCCCATCCCAGGGCAAGCACGGCGTGGGGCGTGATGAGCGGCTTCTCGGGGATTCCGCACCGTGGCCTTTCTGGGGTGGGTTCTTGGGGACTGGCCAAAAAGAGTGGGACTCCCCGGTCTTTACGGGGGGGGGGGGGGGGATTCTTTCACGTATCCTTAGATATCTGCAGTCTGTGTTTTGGTTCATACAAAATGTACCATCGTAGTTGTCTGTTGGTTGAAGCAAATTCGTGATGTTTGTTCGATTAGTGTGCGTAATAAACGGGTGCAGTGAGCATATCTTTCCCTCCCTAGTACGCTGTGCCGGGTTTGCTCTGCGTTGAACGCTAAATGACCTCTTCCGGGCCCGCACGCCCATATCATGTGACAAGCGGAGCAAGTGTGCATTTATCTGAACCATGATGCATTGATGTGGCCAAGTGGTGCAACGTGATATTTCGCGGAAATGGCTGGCGCGGTGCCCTGGCCAACGACGTGAGAACACAAGATAGGTATTGGGAAGCGTTACCTTCCAACGCTTTATAAAAATCAATTGGTATACATGTTCAACATATCCCGGACCTTACGTCTCATATGTGCGATTTTCAGATTGATACTCCAGACGGAGCACCACGAGCAGCAGCACGAACTCATGACGCAGTGTCAAGATGTCTTGCTTCTGTTTCTGTAACTGCTAGTTCCGTACAGACAGAAATTTTGAATTCGTAAATTCGAAAATTTTCATTTGACCCCTCCTTCGGCACTGGGGTCTTCGACACGGGCCTTTCGCAAAGGACCACAAGGCCTTTCCAATGTCTGTGAGTGCGAAGCCTCGCATCGTCAGCTTTCCAATCTGCTTTCATTGTCAAGGTGGTCAGCACAAGAGGCCCTTTGGCATTCAGACCCCTGTCCCTTTTTGCCAAGTTTGACACTGGCCGATCTGGGGCTCATTGCCTGACCCATGATCCCCTGTTAAGTACTATAGGTCCTGACCAGCAGAGGGAGGGGGGGGGGAGAGGTCCTTCACGGTTTTAGGAGCTTCGGTCAATGGAGGAGGCCTTCTGATTGACATTTGCAGGTTCCGGCTTTGTCCTTGCTTGAGAAAGGGACCCCCTTGGGCCCACACTTTATCGTCGGCTTCCAGGGGCCCAAAGGACCCTTCGGGACGTTACGTGCTTCCGCCCCCCCCCCCCCCCCGCTGCTTGCGCTCATTTTGGTGGTGCCCTTAGAATTCGGTTCCTCGTAATTTTTTAGGCCGTTGCTGGCGCCCCCGGAATTCAGCATTACATTGAATTGAAGGTTTGGGACCCTTTGTTGTGCCCCCTTGTCATTCGGTGCCTCTCAGAAATAAAAGCTATGATATTCAGAAATGAAGGTTTTTGGTGCCCCTTTTCCGAAGGAGCCGATCCAGGATTTCGTCAGAGTGAAAGGCAAAGCAATCGTGGTGCCCCTGGATTTCGATGTCCGTTAAAAGGTAAGCTTCTGATCCCTTTCAATCGCCTGTTTGGGTTTCCTGCCTCTGGGAGATGTTATGATGCCCCGAAACAGGTTTTGGTTCCTCAGCCCGGCCCGCCCCCCCCCCCCCGCCCCCCCCCCCCCATCACCCAATGGGCCGGTGCGGAATTTCATCAATGAAGGGTCACGGACATTGCAGTGTCTCTTGGAATATGTTGGCTCTTGAAGATTAAGGTTCTGGAAGCCCATTACGGTGCTTCCGGAATTGTGTGCCTCTTGAAAATAAAGGTTTTGGTTTGACCAAATGATTGGTTTGGTGTTCTCTTGTCGAATAGGCCGATCCAAAAAATTCGTTAAGGATACGACAGGGAATTGCGATGTTCCCGGAATTTGATGACTCGAAATCGAATCCTTCGGTTATTTGTGGTGCCTCTGAAATTTGGTGCCTAATGACAATGCAGGTATGCGATTCCGAAATGATTTTTTTTTATCGAAATGGTTCTGAAACTGGTCGATCACAGAAGTTATGTCGCTTTTGCGAGCACTGCCAGATGACGTCAGAATAAGACGACCAGCCGCTCCTACAATTTTACGCATGCCCAGCGCGTTTAAGTATGCGCAAGTTTACGATTGTACTTAGTAACTTACCTGGGCCATGTCTAGAGGGTGCTGAAGCTATCCTGAGCATGGGTGGTGATGCCATCTTTGCTGCGGAGATTCCACGGTGATCGTATCCTGTTACCGTGAGTCCATGACTTGTTGTCTCCTGGCATGAAAGTGTGACGCTACTGTCTGGGGATCCCACCATGATAGAGGTGGCTAAAGATGTCAGTCACAAGTGATGCCACACTTCCAGTTTTCCAAATATCTGTCTGCGTGTGTGTGTGTGCTTATTGCGGATGCCGTTCCGGTCCACCGACTTCCAGCTCGTGCTGATAAGCCTCGGCTCCGGAGTCGCTCGCTGACCTGACTCGGAGCCCCTGCACAACGGAGGCCGCTCGTGCTGATAGCCCCCGGCCCGGAAATCCCTTGCTGACCTCGCCGCTTCTCATAAACACCATTCGCTTCTCGAGTGATATTGGGGGAAGTTCCCACATCACAGTAGTGCAGGTACGTACAACAGACGCGTACACTTATGACACGACGCCACGACGCCCGCACCACGGCGTGTGCGGTCTTTGATTATGGACAATATGGATGCACCCAGATATGGACTATGGTAGCAAACATTACGCGATGCATTGTTGGACAGCGTTCGGCACCCAAGAGCAGGGTCTCCAATTTGCCCCACTTTAGGGGGTGAGCTCTCAAAAATTGTCAGCCTGGATATTAGACCTGAGGCGATGAATAGAGGAATGGCCTCGAGTCCAAAATTACTGTCGGAGCGGGTTCCACGCCACTCTTATTTATGCAACACTCTTGTTCTTGTCCCAGAGATACTCTGACACAGGCTACATTCGTTGGAAGTTAAGTACCTGCATGGTCCATAAATTATGCTATCGAACCAAACCAAAATGGCCGCCATTCACCAGCGGCGCAAAACAAGCTACAACGCAACGAGATCTGAGCGCACCTTAACAGACTCGAAGGAGCCTGAGTGACCTAGTCGAAGGGCACCAGTCTGCCCCTGGTGCCGGTGCTGACCGAGACAGGCAGAATTTGAGCGGACGCTATCTTCGGTCGCGTCTCGCCGCTGTCGGACACCATAAGGGCGGACCGTGACGGACGGGACCCGTGAGTAATGTGAGCACTGCTGGCAGCGGCGGCGCCCGGCACCGTGCCAGTTCAGAGCGGCGCTGATCAGGTGCGCTGCGCATCCCGCCATCATCTCTTATCACGCTCTCGCTGAAGCCTGTGACGGGAGAACGGAGTCAGACGCCGGCCTTCGGGACGCTTGGTTCGCAGGGATGTTACGCTCGTGAGACGTCGGTCCGCGGAAACAGACAACCCCGATACAGGAACAGATAATCAGCTTTTCGTCCGGCGGCTTTGGATTCATCGTTGATTGGTTGTAACACAATGACGTCGCGTGACGTTGCAAACAAAATATAAAGCGATCTGTCGAGTGTACGAGCCTTTTGTTTCCAGTATTACATGTGGAGGTACGAAACCTATGTGATCATATTGAAAACACAGAGGGTATAGTTGGGCATGCATGAAAAGAGGTTTAAAATATATTAAATCAACAGTGCAAAATATATTAATCCACAGTACATGCTCAAACTTATGAAAATCATCGAAATCAACAGTAAACACAGCTATTAGCTATAACGGAGAACGATGAGCAACATCGCTACGATCCCACTGACCTGAGGTACTCCTGCTGAGCCTGGTGCTGGGCTAGTAGGGACGAGTGCAGCGAGGTGGGTACCCCGTGCGGCAGGGGCAGGCTCAGCCGCTCGCGCTCCAGCAGCTGACGCTGCATGTGCTCCTGAGCAGCGGCGTGCGCCGACAGCTGTTGGCACAACAGCGACGTCAGCGGTACCGGCCGTGACATCACGGCACGCCGGTCGTGACGTCACGGCACGCCGGTCGTGACGCCGCGGCGCGTCGGTCGGGCAGCGCCGGGCCGCAGCCGTGAAGTTGACTGGACGGGTGCAGGGCCGGGCGGCCCAGGGCCTCGGAACCAGCTGCGCCTGAACGGGCCGCACATGATCGCGCGGAACAGGCGAGATGAACGAGCAACCAACGGAAAGGACGAGCGTCTTTCCGGTGAGCTTAGGGGTAGAGCGCTGGGCGAATCAGAAGACCCGAGTTCGATCCCAGCACGTTCACGGAGAAATCCGGGATGTAACGTACCATGGCTGAAAGAAGCCGAGCACCATACAGTCCTTCTCAGGGCCCAGCAGCGCCGAGCAAAGCCCGGAGCATTAACTGGCCGAAACGTTATGTTCACATCACTACACCAGGCGGGAACGATAGTCCGAACAGCTGTTATATCCCACAAACCTCGCAGGTCCATTAATTCCATCTTGTTCCACCAGCGCAGTTTAGACAGCAGCTACAACCCGGCGGACACGGTCAGCGACCGGTGGGAAGACAAGCGAACCAGACACACGAAGGCTACACCCAACCGCGCACCAGATGGGTTACGAACGTCCCTAACTCCAGCACCGGAGCACAACGGCCCGTCGCCTCGGCGCAGAGCCTCACCTGCACCAGCTGTTCCTCGTAGGAGCGCGGTAGGCCGGCCGGCGGGAACAGGCCATGGAAGGGCGGCTCGCCGGGCCGTGGCGGCAGCAGGCCGGGCCGCGGCGCTGGGAAGCCGGCCGGGCCGGGTGGCGGCAGGCCGGCCGCCGCCGCCGCCGCCGCCTCGCCCGGGTGCACGTGCAGGTGGGTGTGCGCGTGTGTGTGCGAGTGTTGATGGTAGTCGGGCGGCAGCAGGCCGGCGCCGACCATCTGCGCGCCGAGACGGTCAGCCGGGTCCGACGGGGGCAGCGGCACGCCGCCGCCGGCCAGGCGCGCCTCACGCTCCCGCTCCATGGCCGACATCACGGCCGGCGATGGCGGCGGCGGCGGGTACAGCGCGCCCGGTGGCGGTCCGAACAGCCCCGGCGCCACCATCTGCCGCCTGCCGCGCCAGGGATCAGGTCACGTCAGGTCACGGCTGTCCAGTCCTCCAACAAGCCAGATCCACAGGTTCCGTCGCACCCATCGATCAAGACGACACTCACCGATAAGACCTCAGCCGTCCCATTCTAACGACGAGGAGATCGTATGAAGGTAGCGAATCATTGAACGCAGGGAAGTGAAAGAATCCAGTCATGGCAGTACCACAAGCACCAATGGGAAGCAAGTCCCCGCGATTTTTTTCCACGTGAAGGCCTGGTCCGGGCCAAGAACCGGTCATCGCACAGCGACCACCCACCTCTGCATCTCGAGCCAGTGCGGGTCGAACGGTCGCGCTCGTAACATCTCCTCCTTGAGCCGCTCGTTCAGGTCACGCTCGCGGAGCTCTCGGATCTCGCGGTCTCGCCGCTCCAGCATCTCCAGCTCCATCCTGAGGGAGCGCCCACGCGGCGTCGGTTGGCAGCAGCGTCGGCGGCGTCCACCCGTGCAGAGCCGATCCCCATATGGCGCACTCCCCCCCCCCCTCCCCCCCCCCCCCCGGACACAGCTGGTGTCTCAGCTGGTGCCTCTCCTGGACACGGCCGGTGCCTCAGCCGGCGCCTCTCCAGAACACCTCCCCTGGTGCGGCGCCTTCTGAAGGTCCGTGCTGCACAATACTGCAACGCTAACTGACGAAGGCAGGACTGGACAAGGAAATATAGACCAGAGCCAACACGGGACAAGAAATGGACAAGACCCAGCACGGGGCAGCCACTGACCTATCCCTGGGGTACATGGCGCCCGGGTGCAGTCCGGGGGCCATGGCGTACGCCGGCTCCATGTGAGGCGGCAGTGGGAAGCTGCCGGAGGAGAAGACGCCACCAGCGGGAGAGCTGGCCGTCCTGCTCGCGCTGTACTCGCTGCAATGGAAACGCCACGTCAAAGCCAAAGCCAGGCTGCCACAGCCCGCTAATCGCGTCCTTTGATTGGCTGCGGCCGGGCCTCTGCGCAGACAGAGGCTGTTGGCTGCCGGGTGGCGGAGGGATTAGGGGATCCTGTAGATATGAGGTGCCCTGACCGGCGCAGATGGTGATGGGGAACGGGATGACACTGCCGGGGCATGGGGCACGGAGACTTGTCTCGTTGTCAGATACGATAAAGAGGACTAGAATAAAATATACGCCGACCGTAGGTTTGTTATAAGCAACAAGAAATGCGAGAAAATAAGACAAAAAATACCTGGTCTTTTAATAACATGACCCGCAAAAATGATTCTGACGTTTCGCCTATCAGAACTTACGCTTCTCTAACATTAGGCACCTCGTTAGACCCAGCGACGCCCAGTTTCATCGCATGAAACAATAACCATGCTCAACCATACATTGTGCCACATGCCTTCAGACACCAGGCCGACGCGCGAACGACTAATGAGACCTTCGACGAGCTGAAGAGTCCAGTGAGCCTACTTGTCAGCGCAATACCCACAAAGTAGCCACCTGTACAGACACCGAGGGACTATACAGGCAAAATTCCTTGGAAGTTGGCTTGTTGGCCATTCGGGTCTGATTGACTTTCTTTATAACACATCATGCAACTTTTTACTATCTTCCTTCCATTGTCGTTCAGGGATGGTCACAATTATAGGCTTTAATCATACACGAACCTGGCGTCACACAAAATGTATGCATGCGGAAAAGCGACGATTGTACCGATGACCGCTGAAATGTGAACGCGTCGGCCAGTCCACATACCACACCAGCAGTCATCGCGTCGGCCAGTCCACATACCACACCAGCAGTCATCGCATCGACCAGTCCACATACCGCACCAGCGGTCATCACATCGCCCAGTCCACATACCACACCAGCGGTCATCGCATCGACCAGTTTACATATCACACCAGCAGTCATCGCATCGACCAGTCCACATACCACACCAGCAGTCATCGCGTCGACCAGTCCACATACCACACCAGCAGTCATCGCATCGAACAGTCCACATACCACGTCAGCAGTCATCGCATCGGCCAGTCCACATACATACATAGCGACCAATCCACATGCATACATAGATATCAGCATAAAACAACCACAATCAGATTGCAACCAGACTGGCGGAGGCTGGCGGCGGGTGGGTGGGGGTGGGGGTGGGGGTGGGGACGGACCTGCGTCTGACTGTCATAGGCTCGGCCGGCCGGCCGGTCAGCCGAACCTGCTCTCCTGGGAGGCCGGACGGAGGGCGTGGAGGCCCCCTCTCCCGGCCGGACGGGTCCTTGCGCTGTGGCACACAGAAGAACAGTGTTAATGCGAGGGGTCACCGCAGGGGCGGCTGACATCTGGAGAACGATCGGATGGAGTGGAATGACAACGTTGAAAGTGTAGAGAGGCAAACAATGTGACAACAATGTGGAGTGTGGGCTGGAGTTAAAACGATGTATCTACGTCATTAGGCTCCCCCCCCCCCCCCCCCCAAGCATGTGACATCTCCCGTTACATAATACTGCCGTGTTTAATCGAAAAACGAGTAGGTTAGTCCATTAAGCAAAAATTCGAAATTGTAAACTAATCTCACAAAGTATGCCAGAGGCATGCATCAAAACAATTGCAACAATATTCGGCCCCATGCCCTCGTCAGCGATGTCATATTGCACGTGCTCCATGCGCGAGCAACACCGCCGACCAGGACAGTAGTCGGTTCCATACCGAGACCAAATACATTTTTCGTCATGATCTGCTAGTTCATTGATCATATTCATTGATCATTCAAAAAGTTGAAAAGGGGTTGTTTTGGTGGAACGTAAAGAGAAGTAATCATGCTAAACATTATAGCACTATCAAGTCATGACAATCTAAACAGCGCTTGGTATAAATGTAACCTGTTTGTTCGCATTGGTCGCCTTTAATCACCATGTGCTGTTGTGGCTGTTGCTGCTGTTGCTGCTGTTGTTGCTGTTGGTGCTGGAGCTGCTGTTGGCGGTCCCGCTCCTCGCGCTCCTGCTTCTCCGTCTGGCGACGCTGGCGCTCCTGCCGGCACCGCAGCAGCTTGCTGTCCGGCACCGGCTTGAACGTCAGGTCGGTGCGCGCGCAGCTGCTGGCTTCGCCTCTGTTCCAGTGGCGCAGGAAGATGGCGCTCTGACTGCGGTGGCACTCCGAGTCCTCCACTACCGGGTCGGGGCTGGCTGGCCGCGGCGAGGCCGGGCCTTCCTCGTCCGTAGGCTGCTCGGCCGCCGTTAGAGTCGGCGGCAGCGGCTGGCTGGACGGCGGCGAGCTAGCGGGCGCCGTGCGGGAGTTCGGCGCCAGTGGCGGCGCGAGCGCGATGACCGAAGCGGCGGCGGGCACGACTGGCGCCAGCCGCCGAGCCGGTCTGTGCCGCCGCCGAGTCGACCAGCGGCCCCGACGTGCCCCCAGTGGGCGGCGCGGCCGCGTCAGGCGGCCGCGGCCAGGCCATTTCCGCCAGGCGGCCGGTCGCCTCCAGCCGGGCCGTCGGCGACGGCAGCGCCGGCGAGCCCCTCTCGCGGGTGTCACTTTTGCGCAGGTCGAGCGTCTCGTCCGGTGCACCGGCGCCGCCCAGAGAAGGACGCGGCGGGTACCGTGGCTGCGCATACGGGTACGGGTACGGGTACGGGTAGCCGTACAGGTGGTGCGGCGCGGCGGGCATGCGCGGCGGGCCGGCGTACAGCGGCATGCCCGGCATGGGCGGCATGCCCGGCATAGGCGGCATGGGCGGCTGCGTGCGCAGCGTCGCTGGCGGCGGCGCCGACACCATCACGTGGTCAGACGTCCGTGTGGTGGTGACGGCGACGAGCCCGAGCGCAGCCGGCGGCTCGGACACGACGGCGGCGCGCGGCTCCGGCCCCTCCCAGGTGACGCGCGGCTCTTGTTTGACGGTGGTCAGGTTTTGCGGCTCGGCGTCCGTCGGCGGAGACAGCCAGCGGCGGGCCGCCTGCGCCGCCTCAGCATCCAGCCGCGCCACGTTCGGCTTCACATCGGTCTCCGGCTCCGGCTCGGCCGCCGACTCGGGCGCGGCCTCGCTCGACTCGGGCACGGGCTCGGCAGCCGCCGCCTCTGGCAGCAGACTGGCCTGACCCATTTCCGGTTCGGGCTCTGACTCAGGCTCAGGCTCAGGCTTTGCCTCCAGCTCCGGCTCAAAGTCAGGCTCCGGCTCCGGCTCGGGCCCCGGTTCAGGCTCAGGCTCAGGCTCAGGCTCAGGCACAGGTTCGGGCTCCGACTCCGGCTCCCGCCCAGGCTCCGGCTCCGACCGCGGCGGCTCACGCTGGGGCGACATCGGCCGCGGAGCCGTCGCCGACTCGTCCGGCTCGTCCGGCGCCGGCGACGAGGCGCGAGACGAGGCGAGCTCGCCGTCGGCTGCCTCCTGCTCGCTGGTCGAGTCGCTCAGGCTGTCGTCGCCGGACGTCTGGCAGACAAACGAGACGCAGAGTTAGAACGAGAGGGCCGGGCAGCACGGCAGCCGGTCTAGACCGCGCGGCTTATCGAAGAACTCGACTGGACCACAGGGATGCGGTGGTGCGCGTTGGTCCATTGCAATATGCGGAGACAGAACGTGACTGTACGCCACCATTTTAATGGTAACTGACGTTTAAGGGCCGAGAGGCTCATTTGCCACGTGGGTCAGCTTCACGGCTGCGTCCTATCTGGATATGAAGCATAATAAACGGCAGAAAAAGGGGATGCCGAACCTTACAAGGCCGACAGATAATCGTGGTCGGAACTGTCGGTCTGGTATATCGGTATGTCGGTTACATTTATGACGTTCGCATTTATCACGTTCATGATAAATTGGAAATGTAGTGAAATTGCAATACTGCAGAAGAAGAGGTCGCCTCATCCAATAGTTCTCGCGGAAGGACCCTGGGAATATTGCAGCACAACTCACAAATAATCGCGATAGCTGGTGCTGGAAATCGCATACCGGTGCGCTCAGTGATTTGAAACATACACAAGCCCCTTAAAATCATGACGCGCAAGGCCGTGGCAAGTCACCGAAGCCACGGAATATTCAGTTAGCTGACGTAAAAACAGGCTCGCCCTCCAACCTTTCTAGTAGCCGCTAACACAACCGATAAAACCAAACGTTCTGCAAACTGTTTTCGCAGGATGCCAAGACACATTTTCCGACCACAGCTTATCTGGAGCATTGGACGGACATAAATGATAAACGTACTTACGCGACACCGGGTCGTTCACCACACTTAAAGCCGCCGCCGGCGCATACCACACCCGACCGGCGAATGCCAGCAGGGGCCGCGGAGGAGGCCGTCTCGATCCGTACTCACAATGGACTCAGGACTCACATTGGCCAGCAGGGGCTGCGGAGGAGGACGTCTCGATCCGTACGGAGCGTCAGGACTCACATCGGCCAGCAGGGGCGGCGGAGGAGGACGTCTCAATCCGTACGGGGCGCCAGGACTCACATCGGCCAGCAGGGGCGGCGGAGGAGGACGTCTCAATCCGTACGGGGCGCCAGGACTCACATCGGCCAGCAAGGGCGGCGGAGGAGGACGTCTCAATCCGTACGGGGCGCCAGGACTCACATCGGTGGCGCGGCGCCGCTTGGCGTCGATGCCGGCGTCGTCCGCGCGGTCGGCCGGGGCCGGGCGCTTGGCGACAGGCGCCGACGGTGGCGCCGCCTGCGAGGAGGCCGACCGGCCCTTGTCGGAGGAGCCGCTGGAGCAGCTGCTGGCCGTGTCGGACGGCGTGCCGGCCCGGCTGCGACTGTCGCGCCGCGAACGCCGACCCCGTGACTGAGGGCCCAGCGTGGTCGCGGGTCACAAGGGCGAGCGGCACATTGCACGGAGGAGAAAACGCCCGAAGGTCACGCGGCGGCATCGGCACAGTGAAAGGAAACATAGGAAAATAGGAAAATAGCAGAGCACAAGGTTTTTGACGTTAAAAAGAGAAACCGTAGGGAGTCACACGGGCCAAAGCCACGCAGAAACGACACTTCAGGGGACACACAGGGTCGTCGGCTAAAGCAGTGATGCTGGGTCACAGGGGACATCAAACACGCCACATTCCAGCCATCAAATCGTCTGTTCACGATTACGCGGCGACAAGGCGACATGTCTCGTGGCAACCAACCATCGGCAGATTGTACTTCAAAAAGAGCATAAAGAGGACGTGAATAGACAAACCAACGCTTCTGGGAGCTGGGCGTCCCACCAAGTCAAAGGCAACGTTCGTGTCGTGACTCTCATGCACCCTTCAGAAGCTGACCGTAGTTGACACCCTAGCCAACATTGCCCGGTTGCACACCAATTCTAATAGTCTGACACTAAATACAGTCCAGGCGGGTTTTTACCAGCTCTTTAGCACGTGTCCTGGTGCGCATGCGTCCCTCCTCCTTGACGGCAGGCAGCTGCAGCGGCGCCTGGCGCGGCTCTCTGAGCGGAGGCAAGTCACCGTACTTCTTAAAGTGCACCCGACACTCTGTGCACAGAAGCACGTGCTCCTTGCCCGCGTGGTGCCAGCCCTTAGACGCTGAAACGACCGGAGACGCGTAGTGAGGGGCAGGCCGCCCTAAGGTGAAGCGACCCGCACGGGTGCAGTACTTCATCTGACATCTAAATGTAGAATATGCCACAGTCGGGAGGAAGACGGCGTTGGGTTCACGTCATGTTGCAATCGTCTTTCGATTTCTTACAATGCATTCTAAGTGAACCGCATCAGTGTTAGCACGAGAAAAGACACACCAACCATAACAGGTTCTTAGCCCCGACGTCGCGATAACGATGGCCGCGTTGTGATGTTCGCTCCTAACGCCCTGGGCCGTCAGGTGGCATTACCATGCCTGCCAATGATATACAAATGACCGCGCGCCGTCAGGGCGTGATAACGTCACACCGCATTACGCCGCGGCCAGTGGCGGGCGCTCTGTCGACCCGCCGGCGCCCACGGCGGGAGCCCCGACAGCGCCGCCGCACTCCGGAGCAGGCCACTCTGGCGCCGGCGTCGAGCCCACTCACAGACGGTGAAGCAGTGGCGACAGTGGTAGCCGGACATGTCACGCGTGTTGGAGTCGGAGTCGTCCGAGTCGTCGTTATCCGCCTCGCTGGTGGAGCTTAGGTCGCAGCCGACCGCGGCTGCGGGTCAGGGCAGACTATGAGGCGCGCGAAGGCATGCTGATGCGCAGGCGTCACCCGCCGAAGGACGGTCTCCCGCTGCAGAAGGCACCATACCAGCAGAAAGTTGGGAGTCCCGGTGTCCGCACCAGCCGCCAATAAACGAATACCGCCTCTCCCACAATCCAGTACAGCAGACTGACAGGACTGCCGCCGTCCGTTCCGGGAAACGAAGGCCTGTGCACACCCAGCTGACGGCCGTTCGCCGACTGACCGGGGTCCTCGCGCTGAGCTTTGCTGCCGGTCTTGCGGCTGCGGATACGGCGGATGCCGTTGCTGCGTCGGTGTCTGGCGATGTTCCGCGGTCGGTTGCCCTGAGCGCCGGCCGTCTTCTTCCAGAGATAGTAGAACTGCACCAGCTCGCTCTACGGGGTACAGGCCAGGGCCCAGCGTTACACCGCAGCACGCGTGTACCGGGAGCGGGGCAGCTACGGGCAGACTCCGCACAATAACGCGCTGCAGGTAATGGTGGACAAATGGGAGTCCTCGATAACCCAGCTTGCCGCGAACCACTATATGAACACGAACAGAAACCCGCTATGGACGCAAAACAAAGATTTGCTCAATTGACATTCACTGTTTTGTTTAGTCTTGTCCTTAGCTGACTAAACCAAATAATATTGTCATATCATGCGCAAAAATCTGGTCTTAACTCTCTTTGCTCGCAATCAAAGACGCGACCAAGGAAAATGTGATGGAACTTTGACTACGTATCTATGGTAGCACACAACGGGAGTTTAAAGAAAAACAAACCTAAATACGCAGCTACATTTTGATACGACTTCCTAAAAGGACCGTTTAATTTCTTTGATCCAACCGGTCACTGATTTTCTTACCGTTTCCTTGTGAGGGACCAGTTCCTTCTTGATCCGGAAGAAATTCTTTCCATATTGACGAAGTCCCTTCACAAACTTCTTCTGTAATAACAGCTTGTTACATATGGACTCGTTTACTGACACCAATCCATTAATCAGTTGCATACACGCACGCACGCACACAGACGTGCATGCGTGCGTGCGTGCGTGCGTGCATGCATGTGTGCGTTGTGGATACATATCCTTTATATGTACGCATACAGCCAGGCACTAAAACGCTTGGATGCGCAAGAGTGCCTGGTATCACATATGGCGCTACATGCACAAATGATGGAATGCCTCGACAGCAGCTGCCTTCCGCTCAGGCGACAGCCTGACTCTTCATACATAACGCTGAAATTGGCCATAAAATATGATGATCTAGTCATCAAACGGAAACAATCGCCTCTCTTCAGGACGATCGACCTGCACCACGGTCCACATATACCCCTGCTTGACAGCAGCCCCAAGCCCTGCTGGGGTTCCGCCCACATCCCACGCTAGTAATGGCATGTTCGAAAACATAAGAAAAGCTATTACTAGGCAACGAATATTTGGCCTTCCCCACCAAGAACAAGCACAATCAGCTTTGAGCCTAATTAGCGGTTAGCTTTGATCTCTCCTCGGCCGAGGAAATAACCCGATGGTTCGAATACCAAAACCAGATCGAATGATCAGCTTTTAGCCACACGCTTGCCCAGCTGGGCTGCAGCCGCTGTCCCTGCTGGACTGCTACTTCCCATTCCTACCATACTGCAGTCGTTATTCTTACTGAACTGCAGCCACCGTCCCTGCTGGACTGCAGCTCCGCCCTCACCATACTACAACCGCCGTCTCTGCCGGGCTGCCACCACATCCATGCCGTACTACAGGCGCTGTCGCTGCTGGACGGCATCATACACAATTAAAGCCGTTGTCCCTGTTGGACTGCAGCCCAGACCCCCTCCCCCTGAACTGTAGCAGATGTCCTTGCAGGACTGTTGCCCAGGCCCTGCCCCTCGACTGCAACAGATGTCCCTGCTGGACTGCAGCTGCCAGCAGCGCCTGGCCCGGCTGGCGCGTGTGCGTACCTTCTCGTCGTCGGCCCAAAGTTGGTGGACGCCGGCCGGTACGGGGCTCCTGACAAGCGCCTGCAGCGCCTGACCCTGGTCGTAACCGGCCTGGTGCAGCTGCAAGCGCACAGGCGCGCGGTGAGACCACGTCGGCCGGACAGAGCGACCGCCACAGGCGCGCGGTGAAACTACGTCAGCCGAACAGAGCGACCGCCGCAGGCGCGCGGTGAAACTACGTCAGCCGAACAGAGCGACCGCCACAGGTGCGCGGTGAGACCACGCCGGCCGGACAGAGCGACCGCCACAGGCGCGCGGTGAAACTACGTCAGCCGAACAGAGCGACCGCCGCAGGCGCACTGTGACCTCACAGCAGCCCAGCGAGACCGCCAGACACCACGGGGGCATGCCGAGCCACAGCAGTCGGCTGAGATAGACACCTTCGGCGTCGACAGCACGGTACGTCAGGACGGCTGAAGCCGGCTTGCGCAAGACTGAAACCATGGACGCTCAAACAGTGAAGCGTGACGGAGGAGCGCCGCCGTTCTGACACGCGCCGAGCCGCGCCTGGGGGACGGCGCAACCGAGAGCGGCACGCCTGTTTCCGAACTGGGCTGAAGTGCTAGGCACCTGCATGACGCGAGTGCAGTGGCGGTAGGGCCACCGGTGCGCCCTGTGCGAGCTGACGAGTGGTCGCTCCTACTGTTTGTGGGCGTCGTGGTCTGCGCCATGTCTGGTCCGACGTGCGGCGTCCACTCAGCGATCCCCGCTCAGCGGCCCCTCGACCCCATCGATATCCCTGCCGAGCCCAGAAGGCGCCAGGCCCGGCCGGGCGGCGACGCTCTGACGCGGCGATCCACCGGCCACGCACCACGTCCATGGCGTTCTGCGTGGTGTCGTCGCGGCTGGCGGCGGCGCAGCCCTCGTCCGTGCTGCCGCCGTCGCACATGCCGGCGAAGGCGGCCATTGAGCGGGCGGCGCGCAGGAACATGAGCAGGTCCGAGTCGGCGGCGCGGCCCGGCACCCACAGCCGCTCCTCCTCGGCGCCCGTCGGCCGCGGCGCGATGTCGGCGTGCGGGCCGCCCCGGTACTCGGGCAGCTTCGCCTGCGGCGACAGTCACGGTCAGCCGGCCGCGATGACAGACGTGACGCCAGAGGGTCGGCAGCACAGACCGTGCCGTCGGATCCCAGGACGGGCAGAACATTGTTTAGATCACTTATTGACGCATGGAACGTGGATGTTCTTAGCGGCGTCACAGATCATACCAGGAAGTGTCGTAAGACGTAACAGTACCCTGAACGCGACTAACTTGGACAAAAGAAAGGGCTCTTCAACGACTGCCCCGGAAACAACGAAACCAAAACGGCTCGGAATCACTGTCACTGTTGTACGCTGCTGCAGTGCTTTATCTTTCAAATCAACGTTAATGTTATCGTCTTGGATATTCTAAAAGGCAAAAGTCTGCCCCAAAAGACACGCTGCAGATGCGTGACACCAACAAGACTCCGTCACCTGTGCCTCTTCATCGACACCCCTCCGTTCGCCTGATGGGACGGAACACGAGCCGCTCACCTGGTGGGACGGTCCCACGCGGATCTCGCCTTGCGTCGACGCCAGGCGGCGCGTCTCCGGGTTGTAGGTCAGCACATAGAAGAAGGTGTCGGTGGCCGGCGCGTACTCGCGCACCTTGCGCACATCGCTGTAGTGGATCACCTTGCATGGACCCCTGCAAAAGGATCAACGGCATAAGTGGGGAATAAGCCTTTGTCTTTTATAAGTCTTTGGATACTGGTCACTCAGATGTACTGTGTGGGCGAGAGAAGCAAGCGGTTGATCGCAATCGTACAAGTGAGACCAAACGTTCAGATGTACTGCGTGAGCGAGAGAAGCAAGCGGTTGATCGCAATCGTACAAGTGAGACCAAACGTTCAGATGTACTGAGTGAGCGAGAGAAGCAAGCGGTTGATCGCAATTGTACAAGTGAGACCAAACGTTCAGATGTACTGTGTGGGCGAGAGAAGCAAGCGGTTGATCGCAATTGTACAAGTGAGACCAAACGTTCAGATGCACTGTGTGAGCGAGAGAAGCATGTACTGAGTGAGCGAGAGAAGCATGTACTGTGTGAGCGAGAGAAGCAAGCGGTTGATCGCAATCGTACAAGTGAGACCCCACGTGATCCCGCCTGATTTTTCCTCATTTTTGCTCGTTTGCATGCAATTCGTGACTCCCTCACGAGTGCAAAAACGTACTATATCGAGCAACAGATCAATTAAATCGTTGTGGGATCGTGCCGTGTTTGGGCCGACAGCACTCGCAAAGCTGCTTTATCTATATTTTCCGCCCTAAAATATACGCACAGGACCGGACGAAACTGCTTTAATGCAAAGTCATCCAGCAAACGTCAGAGCCCCTGTTGTGGAGGAACACTCCAACGCGGGCGGCTGCAACGTGTAAGTCAGCAGCTGGGATGGATACTCAACGGATGTATGTAATCTTTCATCCCTACTTGTCACGTGGTAAGCAAAAGCACATCAGCTCTGTGAGTTCTCACAACGTCTAGGCATGGCGTACACCTACGGCAATTCTGCGGAGCCATTGCTCGATACAGTAAGTACCGACCTGAGAAAAGGAAGAGCGCATAAACAGCATATAAGAAACAATGTGAATAACAAAGAAAGCCACTCACCACGTCCGATCCATACATGGATGCCTCTGGTAGTAATAAACACGGCTATACGCCCGTGTTGTTTTATGGCCCGGTCCCTCGCAGCGCATTTGATTCCAGCTTAGTGTCGTAAAAGTGGCGCTGACTGCTCTCCGATCGATAACTGGCGAACCTCCGAAACGGCCGGACGGTTTTGCGATCCATTAGCCGTTTGTAGCCAATAGGCCCTTTGGCGATCAGCCGCTCGCCTTCCGTTCGTTGGGGAATTCATAATTACAGCCCGTTTATGAGGGCATGCAGATCGCAGGGCAAGGAGGGTAACAGACGTCAGCACAATGCCGCGCAAGGCAGGGAGGGTTACAGACGTCAGCACAATGCCGCTGTTGGCATGGGGACGTTTCATTAATGTGTGCTGGCGAGCAATGAACTTTAAGACTAATCTGAAAGGTTGCCGCTGTTACGCTTATATGTATTTGGTCGTTCCCATTACTTCCATTACCGTGTTTCGCCACACCGCCAGCCACGATAATGCCCGACCGCCGCTGCTGCGCCGCAGACGGCGGAGCGTCCGCTGCCGTGCTGGCCGGCTGCCAGTGTCGGCAGCTACCGCAGCTGCACCTCAGCGAACCCGTCTCTATGACGCCCTCTTACACGCCCAGGTAGGACGTCAACGTGCCCAGGGTCACCGTCTGTGGCTGTCCGTATGATCTTACTACCAAGAGGGCCTATCGTTTGAAGGGCGCTTTGATAGCCGAGAGACGTGGCTCGCCAGTGTTTCCCTGGGCACACAGGCTGTTCCCCCGGCTGCTACTGCACTGCTGCCACTGCCGCTACACATGCGCCAACATTAGCTTCCCTGCAGGCCACGTTCCCGTCAGATCCGGGTCCTGGCGTTCCTGGGCAATGGCAGACTCTGTGTCAGCCGATTTTGTGTCACACCTTCACCCCCGCATCCCACCTGGGGGCTGACGTACCGTCTGGAGGTCGCAACTGACTGTAACAGTGACAAGGAGAGCGAGCATCCGTGTGAGGTGAGGTCACCGCGTATTCCGCCACCCGGAACGGCACCCAATGCCCAAGAGCCTGGGCATCCGCACGCTGGACTTTGAGCAACCCTTTGTACTGCGCCACAGCCAACGCTTCAGTGTTTGAATGGCATCGCGCATGCTCGACCGAGAACGTCCGCGCCGTGAGAGATGCGCGTCAGAACCTGGCTACGACAGTCAGGTGTGTACGCTGAACTGCTACCCCGCACTCCGGGCACACAGGCTGAACTGCTCACCACCGGATGTGCTGCAGAATTTCCCCTCATCTGCCAGAACGCTCCGTAGAGAGGCTACGAGCGCCAATGGACGCCACGGCATGCCTGGAGCACTGGCTGTATGCATGCCGGCCTGCAAATACCGACGCTACGCGGTGCACCACAGTGCCAAAGAGATATCCAATGCGCACACGACTATCAATGTGCAAGTGGCCCAGATTCCGGAGGATGTCGCGACGGAGCGTCGTTCGTGCCGGCCAGTCAGCCTGGTCAGCGAGATGGGCGGCTACAACAGCTTGCTGCTGGGCGTCTCCGTGCTGTCCCTGGCCGACCTGCTGGCGGCCGGCCTCCGCTGGTGCGGAGCGGCGCTCAGACGGCGCCCGGCGCCCGGCTCAGTCGACACGGTCATCGGCGTTCACCCCCGACCTGCCCGTCCGGCCCCGCAAGCACAGCCCATCTGCCGCCATCGCGGGCTCTCTACCCCAGTGTGCGGCGCACGTGGCCAGTATGCGGTGGACACCGTGACGCCGCAGGCTAGGTAGGTCACGGGACGACCACGACCGTGCTCAAAAGAACGTCATTGTTTTGTTGTGTGGCAACCACGGGTGAAACTTTACTGTTTTAGGAAGAATGCAGCCTGTGTTCAAACATGCGAACAATTGGACAGGTGTTGGCAAAATATGGTGACAATCTATTTATGGAGCCATTTCCATCTCCCAGCTGTTTTGGTAAGACTCCGTTTACCGTTGCAGCTGGGCGCCTGCCTAACGCGCACAGATGACACTAGTCTCAGAAAACAACGGGAGGACCGATGCTCGCTGTGCCAGTGACCTGAAGGGCCGAGTGCAACCCGACCTTCACTGAGCTCCGGGGGTGACCTGAGGGACCGAGCATAACCCGACTTCCACGGAGTACCGGCGGTGACCTCAGTACCCGCCGCTGTCCCGGCACACCACCCACCGCTGTCCCGGCACACCACTCACCGCTGTCCCGGCACACCACCCACCGCTGTCCCGGCACACCACCCACCGCTGTCCCACACCACCCACCGCTGTCCCGGCACACCACCCACCGCTGTCCCGGCACACCACCCACCGCTGTCCCGGCACACCACCCCCGCTGTCCCGGCACACCACCCCCGCTGTCCCGGCACACCACCACCCACCGCTGTCCCGGCACACCACCCACCGCTGTCCCGGCACACCACCCACCGCTGTCCCGGCACACCACCCACCGCTGTCCCGGCACACCACCCACCGCTGTCCCGGCACACCACCCACCGCTGTCCCGGCACACCACCCACCGCTGTCCCGGCACACCACCCACCGCTGTCCCGCACACCACCCACCGCTGTCACGGCACACCACCCCCTGTCACGGCACACCACCCACCGCTGTCCCGGCACACCACCCACCGCTGTTCCGGCACACCACCCACCGCTGTCCCGGCACACCACCCACCGCTGTCCCGGCACACCCCCCGCTGTCCCGGCACACCACCCACCGCTGTCACGGCACACCACCCACCGCTGTCCCGGCACACCACTCACCGCTGTCCCGGCACACCACTCACCGCTGTCCCGGCACACCCACCCGGCGCACTTCCCACCGCTGTCCCGTCACACCACCCACCGCTGTCCCGGCACACCACCCACCGCTGTCCCGTCACACCCACCCACCGCTGTCCCGGCACACCCGGCGCACTTCCCACCGCTGTCCCGTCACACCACCCACCGCTGTCCCGGCACACCACCCACTGCTGTCCCGGCACACCACTCACCGCTGTCCCGGCACACCCGGCGCACTTCCCACCGCTGTCCCGTCACACCACCCGCCGCTGTCCCGGCACACCACCCACCGCTGTCCCGGCACACCACCCACCGCTGTCCCGGCACACCACCCACCGCTGTTTCGGCACATCATCCACCGCTGTTTCGGCACATCACCCACCGTTGTCCCGGCACACCTCCCACCGCTGTCCCGGCACACCACCCACCGCTGTCCCAGCATACCACCCACCGCTGTCCCGACACACCACCCGCCGCTGTCCCAGCATACCACCCACTGCTGTCCCGGCACACCACATGCCGCCGTCCGACGTGAAATAGTAAAATCGTCATGGCCACAGGTTTTCAGAGCCCAACTAAAGTCGCAGGGCAGTTGATTTTTCTTTCCCAGCGTTATATTCCCACCGTGACAAGATCTCACGTTTTTTAATGGCTGGCTAAATTGTCTCCATTGTTGTCTTTCTTACCACGAAGATGCCTTTCACCTTCACTACAAAATGATGAGCGATATCTGGATATTGCAACCATTTTACGGAAAATGTATTTGTGAAAATTCGAAGCCAGGCAAAGTTAGTGCGCTCATAAGGAAAATGAATGAGACGCTTTTACAAAATTGGGAACAAATAAACAGGATTCGGGTGTTACGGCGGCGTTACGCTAGGCTATTTTAAAATGGGGTCGGCCTCGTCAGCATCGCTTACCACGGCCAACAAGGCGCGCCAGACTACGCGTCAGCACGACCCGCCGGCCGAACCGGCTGCAGTGCCACACGGCTGCCATACCTGAGCACGGCGACGGGGAACGTGTCCGTGGCGTCGGATATGAAGAGCTCGCGGTCCTTTACGGCCGGGTCCTGCACAGCCAGGCCCTTGTCGTGCTCCGTAGTGCGGTCTTGCACCAGCAGCTGGTACACGTTCTCCGGCAGCTCGCACACCCGGTAGAACCACTTGATGTTCACCATCAGCGTGTCCCGCTTGCTCTGCGGCAGGGAGAGGGTTGGGTCAGCATCGTGGCCGGGGCGGACCAGAACACAAGCACGCGGGCGGGCTACCAGACAGGCTCGTACGCACATACTGTACACGCCACCGAATGGTCCTGCCAGCCTGCCGCACACGCTCCAGCTGTGGCTGGGCATTGGAGCGCTCGTGGCCACTGCAGAGACTATAGCCGATGACGTCATGCAGTCAGCTGGCACGGCGGCTCTCTACGCTCCCTCGCCCTCCGCCTAAATGCGGTGGGCGAAAATGCGATCCGCTAGCAAAGCACGTCGCTTAATATCTGCTGGTGACGTCGGAGCAGCAACTGCGCGAGTCCTCGTTCTTGGAATGTCACGTGCGCTGTACATGGCTTGCTGTTTTCATGCATATATTTCGTTGCACGTTACAGTGTATTGTTATAATGTCCACCGTTGTACGTTCCGGTGCTTCACTTACGCGGTGTTGTGGTGGCAAACGGGAGCACTTTTGACGACGGGACGACTATTTGTTATGTACGATTGGAGATTATGCGGTACATAGACATAGTAGTCTCTTTGCACAGACATTGAGGGGTAAACAGGCATATATTGTTGAACAGTATTTTAAATCTAAGACTGCATTTGTAAATCAGGTTGTTAACAAACTTAAAGGATAGGAAAAAAAATATGGAATTTGTTCCCGATCAATCGTTTTAATATAGAGTATCTTTTTAATTATGTCAATTAATGCTATCTTAACGCATCAGTTATGGACAGGTTATCATTTATCACCTTGGGGTTATCACCTCATTAGAATCATGATGTCTATGTTTCGATCTCACACCGAGTTCTTAGCCGGTGACAAGCGGTCGTGATGCTCCGATCGAAGCGTGGACGCAGATGCTGAATGTAACAATGTAGGACAGCCGTTTCCATCCCCCGTGGCCCAATAACTGCCGCGCCGGATCTACTGTAAATCAGTGGACTGGCGCGATCTCATCACGTGACGCCGCGGCTTGGTCGGGCGGCAGCTGCGTGAGCGGCGGCGACACCAGAGACCAGACAGAGGGGCGCCCGGCCGGGTGCCGTCAGGAGGCAGCAGCACAGCGGCGCTCTCAGCACCGTTGCCAGGGTAGTAACGGAAGCTCGGGCCAGTCACGCCGCCTTCGAAGGGGGCCGGCTCGTCGGCGGAACGCTCCATGTGTCGGCTCCTCGCAGGGGCGGCGCCAGGCGGCGGCGCTAGATCAGCCAGGCCCTCATCGGCCGGTATTGATCGCGCCGGCCGACCGCCGAGTGCTCTCACTTCTGATCGCGGCCTTCCGAGTGCGAGGGGAGAGACGAGGGGTGCCGGGGCCAGAGGGGCGCGTCCCGCCGTCCGGTGGCTGCGCTGGCCCGACCCGGCCGCCGGGGCCAGGCGGGCCCGAGCCGTGAGGTCCCTGCGTGCGCCACTGCGCGCACCGGCACGCCAGCCTACCGAACGCCACCAATCGGAGGTCATGCGCGCCCTGGGAGTCGAGAGGAATGTTTGGGTATGGATGTGACCACTGATGGGGTGGGAAAGGGGCCCTGGGAGATATCCCCCTCGTTCTGCAAAATGTCATTAAACCCCTTCCATTAACTAAGCTTGCAGAGTGCACGCTTTTCACGTTTTATCGTTCTTATGTCATTCTCAGATCAGGTTGTCCCCCAGATTCTAGGCAGACCCCCCAATCCGAATGCTTACTCCCCCCCCCCCCCCAATCGCGGAGCCGTGGCTACACCAATTGTTTAAGCACGAAGATCACACAACCCGCTGTAACTTGCTGCGATACAGCACTTGCAAACACGCATGCTAGAAACGGCTAAACATGGCATTGTGCTAGATGTATTTGTTCTGATGACGTTATAAGCCAGCATAACGTGCGGACGAGTGTAACAGAAAGCTATCGCTTCATTCCACCCCGTAAACATCCTGGCTACCAGTCCATATGTCATAGTGCAGACTATCATCAGCACGCTTTGTATTTGGGGGTAATGTCCATTCCTCCAATATACCTCCTCCAATACCACTCCTCCAATACCGTCCCCAATTGTGATCGTACACACAACCGATGTCAGTTTGAAGCTTGTTGCGAGCCAAAAGTTCACGGACCGTTTTTGTTTTCTTCCAAGTATAGCAGTGAATAGCAGCACCCCTCAAAACAGCGACATATTTGCATTCAAATCAAACGTCGAGTTCCGATTCCGTTTAAAATGCGCTCGAAGGTGAAGCCAGATGGTTACTGGCATGTGGTCCGCTTTGCTCTGTTCAAATACGTCAGCCCCAAAAGATAAGAATAAATTCAAGCAATACGACTACCACATGCAAACGATTCGCAAAACCAAGGCACCATAAGAAAGCCAGGCATAAATGTCAGACTGGGCCGTAAACAACTTTCATCACATTCAATATCAAGGGGTGGGGTACCGACGCACCAGCCCTGTGTGGTACTGATGTTCAGCGCTGGACATTGCATGTGAGCTAGGCGTGCGTGCCCGCCTGGGCTCCCAAAACCCGTTAATGAAGGCGAATCTTCAGATCCGCTCAAGGTCTTACGACGGGGTAGCTCGCCATGCCGATCTGTAGCGCTGATCCGAGCAAATCAAGCATCAACAGAAAGCACAGCATCCATTCCAGTCTGGTCTATCAAAACGCCACCCTGCCAGGGGACTGGGTTTGGGGAGCTAGAAATAAATCTCCTTATATGACGTGATCAGCAGACTGCCCGGTCTGAAAGGCAGCACGCCCCTTTCAGGCTAATTCTAAGGGTCAGGAAACCCCAATCCAACATTTAAAGCCAACGGACGGGGTAAAGCTGCACTGCCGTTGTTTAGGAATGATGTCCTCAAATATGGTGTCGTCTGAAATCCAGACGCAGGTGCCAAAAACAAAAATGCCAGCTTTGGCTCCCAAGAACTCGAGGATCAAGGCAGCATACGAAGTACATCCGAGGTCAAAGCAAGGTGTAGTTCCGCGTCGCCAATGTACGGAACCGTTTTACACAACCCGGGTGTCAGAAGACACTACATACATTCCCACCCGGGAACCTTGGCTGTCATGCTGCTGTTTTCACTCTGTTTTTGGGTGCTGCCTGCCCTCAGTCTGGCGTAAACACTCGTGGAGCTTCTCTTCCTCGAGATCCACAGCTGCCTCGGGCAAAGCGCATGCTCACCAGTGGGTCAAAGTAGGTCCGATTGGCAGCCTTGCAAGTTGCAATAGTGCCAGCTGGGACGGCACCGACGCCACCGGCCTAGCCCTGTCACCTGGCGGCCGAGCGCCGAACTGAAGCCGCTGCCGACGGCCGGGAGATAGCGACTCGACGAGAGAAGCCAGGCTGGGCGCGTAGGAAGCGGGGACAGAGGCGTCTCCGTCTGGCGGCGTCCGCGCCGTGGTGCGTGACGTGGGAGGAGGCAATATCATGGGATGCACCGGCAAAAACGGCCGCTCGCCACCCGAAGAACGATGACTGCCAACACTCAAATCATCCACGGCACCTGGCGGGGCACCACCTGCCGAATGAGCTGGGTCCAGCTCGGCCACCAGCGGCACTCGGAAATACCAGGGGCTTTTTGTGATGGTGCCAGCATTCAACTATTTACCATTTTTAGATAATCAGGCGACACATTTATTATATATGCTAGATATCGCTGGCGTCTCCAGAGCTCAGAACAGCCACGAGGGGCTGATGGCGACACTCCCCGCTCGCGCGTGAATGCGTGATGGACTGGCGGCCTTGAGGAGGCCAGACGTGCGCGACCACGCGCACCTGCCGTCGGCTGCTCGCATCTACAGCTCGACGCTGGTGCGGCCGCGGCCATCGCAGGGCGTGGCCACCTGACCGACTGGCAAAACCGGAGGTCTGGCCATAGAGACAGAGACGGAGATGGAGACGAAGACGGAGACGGAGACAGAGACAGAGACAGAGACAGAGACAGAGACAGAGACAGAGACAGAGACAGAGACAGAGACAGAGACAGAGACAGAGACAGAGACAGAGACAGAGACAGAGACAGAGACAGAGACAGAGACAGGAGACAGAGACGGAGACGGAGACGGAGACGGAGACGAGAGAGACAAAGACAGAGACAGAGACAGAGACAGAGACAGAGACAGAGACAGAGACAGAGACAGAGACAGAGACAGAGACAGAGACAGGGACTGAGACAGAGAGAGACAGAGACGAACAAGCAATTGTTGTAGGGGTTTCATCTTGAGTTCCAAGCTTGCAGTGGCAGCACACCGATCCTTTTGGTGACAACGAGCTCTCTGGGTTGAGCAGTGCTGCTGCAACAACTCTACTGGTCCAGCCGGTGGTGACGGATCAGAGCGGCAGGCCCGAACATTCCTCACGGTGACCGGAGTAGTTGTGAACGGTTGCCGCACTACGGCACCACAGCACCACAGCTGTGGTGTTGCCAGTGTGGTGACTCGTGGAACGCACGCCTGTGAACTGGCCCCATGCACTACCTCACTGAATGCCGGCTCGTCGTTGTCCGGAGCAGCGGTTGCCGAGAAATCGGACAAGTTTGCGAGAATGGTTGGATCTTTGCGTGAAGCGCTCCTTCACATTTGTAATGCGGAGCTAATGGCTTGAAGTTGAGCTGGTTGCACGTGTCCCGCGGGCATCTGTTCCACACCGCTCGCACTCGACGCGGCACATTGTGACGCACGCACCACGCACTGTGTGCAAATTTCGCAGCGGTCATGCCCGCTTTTTCGGCTATGAGCATCTTCAGTGCGGAGGAAACAGGGAGCCATACGCAGCACATGATTACCTTGAGAGACAAGTGGCGAGGGGGGGGGGCAGAGAATCTTCCCTCATATCCTCCCGGAGGACGTGGCGCCCAGACCATCAATGTCCAACGCTGGGCAGAATGGGCCTAAGGCCAAAAGACCCACCGACGACACAGCCTTTAAGGACGACAGCGCTGCAACATTAACATGGACGTACGAACCGCGAACCGGGCATCTGGCGGTGCGAGCGAATGCATTAGTCACTCTATAA